GAAGGTGGCACGTGCAGGTGTCACATAAGGTACTGGAGGGTACGGAAGAGGACGGGAAAGGCCCAGCTCGTGCGAACACAGGGCCCCCGGGCCAGTGGTTTCGGCCTCTGCACCTCAGTGTCCCCCGCGTGACATGAAGGTGGTGTCTGATCACAGTGTGGCTCTGAGGTTCAGCGACATGACACGCGTGAAGCCTGCATCACAAGCCTGGGGCGAGCGTGCACTAATAAACGGGAGTCAACGATGATGATGATGCAGAGTGTGACATTCAGGACGGGAAGGGCCAGCTCTCCGCCGTCCGGTCACACTTAGCGATGGACCGGCCCGGTCTCCGCTTTCCACCAGTCTGAGAAGTGGTGTGCACGCCCGTGGGGGCCTCCTTCGCGCGGGGTCAACGCTGGCTATATACTCCCTATTTTTTACTAAGAATGAACAAAACTTTAGCCAATCACGGGTTTGGTCTGTTCCGTAAAAAATATCTTGAACAATAAAAAAAAAAATGGTGCAAACCTACAACGCATAAATATCTGTCTTTTACGTTATAGATTACACGATGTACGTTAACAAGAACAACATCCCTGGAAATTCTGTGAGTGACGTGCCACATTTCTTAAAAAACTACCAAAATAACATTGACATTACCGTGTCTCATATGTGAATGTGTTTTGTGTGTTTTCACTTTTTTACCTGGAGATATTACGGAATTCAAGTCTCAAGAATTCAATCGGCATTATTTTCGATATGAGAGGGGCATATCGAAAAATTTCATTTCTAGCCAGTGTAAAACTTTACTATAGGGTTTTTCACCTTAAAATTGCTTCCATGCATTTTTAAATCAAAGTCTTCATTCTATTAAAATGTTTTAAATCATTCTCTGCAGAAAATCGGGGTGCAGAATTGAGCATTTTGGAAAACACATCGGCAGATCTGAGAGACTTCTCTGCCCCAGTGTTTTCAACCAGGACGAGATGTCCCGCAAATTCCAACGCGCGTCGTCATTTCTGTGGAACTGTACTTTGGTGGACTCGATAGGGCCGGGCTGTCTCCACACAGCTGGGCTCAACGCTCAAGTTCAAACGCAGAGCCCCCGTCAGCTACCCAGCTTGAAATTTCTCTCAGTGAATGGAGGACTCCATCAGTGCATCCCCTCGCTCCGCAGGAGGAAATGGATAGGCCACTGTCTGTGCTGGCATAATAAAGCCTCTATCACAAAGAATAAACAACTAAATGAACAGCAATAAACTTAATTTGCACATTAGATATGCTTTTCCAAGTTCCGACATTTCAGCTGAATATAATGCTGAAGCAATGAGGCCTATAATTGAACATCCAAAACTTCTCCAGTGGGGAAACAAAAACAAATGTTGCCTGCAGACCAGATCGTTTTTATAGCCTGCTGTTACTCTGCTTTTTAATAATTTTCCAAATGCCAGATCGAATAATTTCTCCTTTTATGTGATTTTCATCTACTTCTCGGCGCATGTAATTTGAAGCCGAGTCCTCCAAAACGAAGACCCTCACTTAAGCTCTCTCTGCTCCCGGCCGACTCCCCGTTTGTGCCCATGGAAGATGGCCCTCGATCACACTGGGCGTCTTCAGAGGCCCTGGCATGGCCGGCTAATCGGACTCGCGATGTCTGAATGCGAAGTTGCCTCCCCGTCGCATTAGCAAAATAGACGCACCATGCAGATAACTTCGGAATCCTCTTAACGCAGATAAGCCGTATCGGCCCCAAACTAAGCCGGACGGCTCTTCCTCTCCGAACTGTGATTGTCTTACATGCTATCTAACAGCAACATTTCTTGCGTGACTGAGGCTGATAAGGACATTCAAGAAGAGATGATTGGTTTATCAGCTTTACTGAAATTTCTCATTTGCTCCTTGCCATGCTGTTACCAGTAAGGTCGCTACAGGCTGATCTTGGTTTGGGAAACACAGTTGTATCGGACTCTGTGATGACAATCAGACGAGCATCGTACACGAGCAAACACTCACGCTAACCCATTTTCACAAACAACCAGATGACTTCCCTCCCGACAGTCCAGGAAATGGCTGAATCGATGCATACAATTATAATTACTATAATTCTTTCTCAGATTAAAGCTTCCAATCTGTAGGCTGCAAAATAATAATTCGCTGGCAGTGATACCTTCGCCGTTTCTGCATGAAAGGGAATGACAGACAGCAGTCTCGTTAAGGGGGTATGATGATAACAGGCTTTTCTGTGAACTGGATTTGCATAGCAATCCCATGGTTTAATCAAGATTGTGCATTACAGATCAGTAGTAAAGCAAAGTTCTTAGTGATGCTTTTACTCATCCTGTACACGCATTTTGTGTTTATGCAGTTTTTTTAAAATATGTTTGTGCCATCATGTATGTGTGTATTTGTGTAACACACAGTGGTCCTTGTCAATGGCAAAGAAACAGAAGATCCTGGGATGTGGATATTTCATGGGGGTAAAACAACAAACACAACGACCTTCCGTTATCAGATACAGACGAGTGAAAATAACTCGATATTTACGCAAACTAAATATGTCCTTTCTGCACACGAGGGAGGCTCTGGTCTGTGCGAAGGTATCAGAACACTGAGTTCTCCCCCAAAAGCCTCTAGGATTTCCATACAGCTTCACATTTGAAACCCCTTGCAGACTAAGTTCTCTGTCTACCAGAAATACAGAAATACAGACGCTTACGCCGGGAAGGTGAAAATTTAGAAATTTGTTATTTTCCTCTGACGCTCGTTAGTGCAAAGTATTCTAAGAAGCTTAAACCTGGAACCACAAAAAACTCGCAGATTTTAGAACAAGGAGTCGGGACGGAAATTACCCCTGGGCACGAAGGCGTGTAAGAGGACACCTTTTCACTCGCTCAATCGGCATTTATTGAACTCGTGCAGTTCCCAGGATGTGTGACACCCCTGCCTTCTTTAAGTTCTTTTCCAGAGGAAAGGAGGGATGGAAGAGAAACGAGAGACTTAGAAAATTGTGAATTAAATAGTTTGTAGAAGATGAAGTGTGTCACAGAGAGAGAGTGGAAAGATGGAATCGACTAGGAATGCAGATTGGGACAATTTTGTTTCAACAGACCCGGCAAAGAACACCGAAAATAAACAAAAATATAAGTCAGTTTTTTTTTTAAACCGAGCAATCTTATTTAGTTATTTTCTGACTTGTAGAAAGAGCAAAGTACCTGGGGACAACGGCATGTTTAATGGAATAGCCCAAATATAGACTGATATGTTTTCATTCCAAGAACTAGAAGCCTATCTAGCAAAAACGTGGCTACGCCACACGTCGGAAATAACCAGCCACTGCCTTGAAACGAGGCACAGCCCGCTGCCCCCGAGTTCTCAGAGCAATAGGAATCTTCTGCTTTCCTCAACTCCACTGCTGACGGACGGCATCATGCTGCCGAAGGCTCGAGAAACACTTGAGGGAGAGGAACATCCATCCGCCCCATCTACCTGCTCATTATCATTTTCCTTAACCTCCGCGGCGAATTCTTGCATTTAAGCAACAGAACCATCGGTCCAGCTCGCCGGTCCCCGGTGTTCTACAGAAACTTTCTTAGAGAAAGGACGTTTCTGGGGCTGCTGTGTTCTGTCCCCGTATTTCACACCTGAGGCCCCCACCCCGTCTCAGGACTGCTCCAGACATGGGGAAATCAACGGCTTTTTCTCCTCCAACCCCCCGTCAGGCTTCTGCTGTAATAAAGTGAAATCGAGCCACCTCTCCCTTCTTAATTTGAAATGAGGTGATAAATCTCTCTCTTTTTTTCTCCCTTAATGGACATGTTATTTCTTTAAACACAAAGCGTTCCCACTCGTCAGTACGTGGCTGCACCAAGAGCTTTCTGGAGAAGCGGCCGTCAGTAAGCACAGCCCCAGCCCACCCTTCAAAACATCGAGTCCATCTCCGTCTTAAAACCCCGATAGGAAGACCGTCCCAAGGACGCGGAGTTTTTCAAAATGTGCCACGGCAGTTGGATTTCGACACTGGCCGCATCCGTCACACTGCCCGCGCGCTTCAGACGACTATGGGCACAGTAACGAGACAAAGTGGCAGAGATAGGCAGAGAGACCCTTCCTGAGGGAGGCGCGAAGCGTGGCGGGTAACTCTTTTGTACCGAATACATTCGTTTTTAAATAGAAATGATGATCAAACAGTCAATGCTGAATTTAATCATTTGGGCTTAGTTAGCCGCTCAGACTACTTCATCAAGACAGTCGTCTTTATCATCCAGGTGACAAGGAAATGATCAAAGGGACGTGGCTTCCAGTGAACACGCAAGCATCGCGAGCCGAGGCTCGATCGAGCCAAGCAGCAGCATCAGGGCCTGGACTCTGACTCGAACGACGTCCCCGGCGACTGACCCGCCAGGTGCGTTCGGAGCGACAGTCGCGCAAGAGCCTGAAGAGAGGACGCGGCCCTGTCGCCCCCAGCCGTCTGCTGTCATCTGCCCTCTGATGGGGACATAATGATGACGCACGTGGACGCTAATATTTAATATTTTTCTCTTTGAAAAAACCGCTTGTTAGAGTGTCTGCGAGAGTCTGCATTTCACTTATGCGCCTAGAGGTCCATAAATAAATGAACTGGTTATGTACTCGGCAGCCTTCTATGCAAGTAATTGTTCCATACGAAATGAGAATTTCTGAAGGAAACTTAACCGAGAAAAATAGTATCCACCGACCTTATCGAAATGTCCATGTCCCCCACCCGCCACCCCCACGCGGGCATTCGTGGGATTTCAGATATTTTAGATGTGGCTTTGAATTCTGCCCAATTTCCCACTGATGGCATTTGGACGGCTGAAGCACTGACCCCGGCCCTGGTCCCCCGCTGGCAACGGGCACTTACTATTGATGAGTACGGGGACACGCTCGGGTTACCCGTGACACGCCCACCGTGACGCAGGGGTGACGCTGTGCGCGAGGCCGTGACACGCGTACTTATCTCCCGTGCTCGCCAAGCACCGATGCAGGTGATAAGGTACCTTTTACGACCAGGCCGCCGGTGTCCTTGGCGACGCCAAACTGATTCGTCGCGGTGCACGTGTAGGGCCCGGCATCGGACCTGGTCACGTTATGCATGGCGAGGCTGCCGTCCTCCGAGACGTACACTCTGAGAAGGAAACACGCAAGCATCGGCAGTGAGGCTTCTGAAAGTCCGTCACACTCAACCTCTCACCTGCATTTCAAACCGCGGGCGCGTGTGACATGCGCATGCATCCCTCGCCCGT